GCAGAACAGTTCTGAGGAAGGGTCACCGGACCCGAAACGTTAACTCTGTTTTTTCCTTCACAGATGCTGCCAGACCTGCTGAGCTTTTCCAGCAACATTATTTTTGTTCTTGATTTACAGCATCTGCAGTTCTTTCAGTTTTTAAATTAATCTAGTCCTATATGCTAGCATTTGGCCCATATCTCTCTAAACCCTTCCTATTCATATACCCATCCAGATGCCTTTTAAATGTCCACCACTTCTCTCTGGCAGTTCATTCCATACACACACCACCCTCTGCATGAAAAAGTTGTCCCTTAGGTCCCTTTTATATCTTTCCCCTCTCACCTCCTCCACCCTGGGGAAGATGATCTTGGCTATTCACCCTCTCCATGCCCCTCATGATTTTATAAGCCTCTATAAGGTCACCCCTCAGCCTCTAACGTTCCAGGGAAAATAGCCACAGCCTATTCATCCTCTCCCTGTAGCTCAAACCCTCCAACCCTGACAACATCCTCGTAAATCTTTTCTGAATCCTTTCAAGTTTCACAACATCCTTCCTACAGCAGGGTGACCAGAATTGCACGCAGTATTCCACAAGTGGCCTAACCAATGTACTGTACAGCCGCAAAATGACCTCCCAATCCCTATACTCAATGCACTGACCGCAAAGGACAAGCATACTAAAAGCCTTCTTCACTAGCCTGTCTACCTGCAACTCTACTTTCAAGAACTATGAACCTGCACTCCGAAGTCTCTTTACTCAGCAACACTCTCCAGGACCTTATCATTAATTCCTGCCCAGATTTGCTACTGTATTGAAGAAGGTTATGTAAAAATAAGCATCATTTCAGATCAACGCTGGAAGCAGGAAGTAGCTGTTGGGAGTACACATTTATATATCAGCACAATCTGGGAAATGCTGGAATAGTTTGGATTATTTGCATTTTTTTTGAGGATTTTAACCATGTCATCACTTGGGAACTGAAGTTTAACGTGAGCTGTAAGCCCCTGACTTTTATTAGAAATTGAGTGATTTTGGAGAAATGCTAAGAAAATCTTTCAAGGAGAAAGGGGATGGAGTTTATTACCTGAATTACTGACAAATAAACTAGCTGGGAGGAGAGAACCGGAGCTTCCAATGCTAACGGCTGCACAGGAATTCTTTCTGGGCTGAGTTGGGCTCCACAGTCCAAGGAGGCAGCATGAGGATGACACCCATGAAGCTGTAAGTCTCTCCTGGAATCCCATTATCATTAGACATCTCTGGGAGAGTTTCCCAATAGCAGCACGTCTGTCTGCATGGTATAACCTGAGGGGTAGATGGTGTGACCGATTCTTAACAACTTCAATCCAAGTTGACTGGAATTAGAATTGAACCGACATTTATCATCCAGCTAATGCTGCCAGCTATTCAGTTTCATCAACGGAACACACTGGACATAAGGAGACATTACATTTTATCCTTTGCTTCCATTCCCTTAGCCCACAGGCTTTTTCTTTCCTCTTGTGCCTTTTTCATTTGAAACACATTATCCCTGCAGTGACTTGTCATCTTTGTGTTGTGTGACAATGTGTGGGATAAGGTTTTAATCCCAGGTCATAGTTTAAGTGTTAACCAGAGTTTGCTTTACGAATAAGATTTGTTCATAATATATGGATTCTTTCGGAGTTGATTAAAGTTAGAGTCACAGTGTCATAGAGTCATACAGCACGGAGACAGAGCCTTCAGTCCAACCAGTCCTCACCAACCATAATCCCAAACTAAACTAGTCCCACCTGCCTGTGCCTGGCCCATATCCCTCCAAACATTTCTTATTCATGTAGTTATCTAAATGTCTTTTAAACATTGTAACTGTACCTGCATTCACCACTTCCTCTGGAAGTTCGTTCCATACACGAAACACTCTGCATAAAAAAATTGCCCCTCATGTCATATTTTAAACCTTTTTTCTCTCATCTTAAAAGTATGGCCCTAGTCTTGAAATCCCCCACCCTAGATACTTGAGGGATGTTTATCTTCTGTTGGATAGTAATACTGAAGAGAAGCAATTTAACAGTATGGTAATCGAAGCAACATCTTTGTACTAAGGGGTGACTGGCGGAGGAGTGGGACTTGATTAGCAGCTGTAGAAATCCTTTGGCAGAGGAGCTGCGAGACTCAAGGAAGAAAAGGACAGAAATACTTTTGAGCAAATCATGGACTCCAAAAGTGTCACGCAACTCACCTGAAAGAGGTGGGCCGCTGGACTCGAGATGGTCCAGGTAACCGGAACACCTGAGCATCGTACGCATCGTAATCAACTTGGATCGGAAGGCTGTTCTCAGATTCCTTTGGGCTGCTTGCACCTATTGCTAAAGATGAAGGAACGCACAGGTAAATAAATGACAAACACTTGATGTGTTATTGACTGCAATCATTGTGGGAGCTCTGAGGAGGTCCTCATAATATCATTGTCACCGCAAATAAATCAGAGAGATCTCCAGAATGCCTGGTGGTACTAGGTCTCAGAGCTAGCCGGACATTTCAGCTCTGCACAGTTTTATAATAATTTTGAATCAGCCATTACTAAAGAAATGTAATTGTGCAACAATGAGTTGAGGGTATGAATGTTAATGAAGCTCAACATTACTATCTTAACTGGATATGATTTCAGTAAATTTTCAATAACTAATATTTCAACTTGACAGTGAGGGCACGGTGGGAGAAGAGAGCAAGGGCATGGGGGCTGGGCGAGGGGGGTGATGGCAAGAGAGAGCAAGGGCACGGGGTTGGGATACTTAATGCAACCAGAAAGAAAAACATACACAGTTCATAACACAGGTTGGAAAACACAAAGCAGTGAGTTCAGGGAGAGAACATAATCCGAATCTTAATCTAACATTCTCAGCAGTTTGAGTTTTCCACTTGAAACCAAGGATATTCCCGAAGGTTTTGAAAGCCACTATTAATTCTGAAACATCACAAAATGTGTAAGGATTCGATGGGAACAGAGATCTACATTAGGCATTGGATGGCGTTGGTGGTCAGCACATTGTGTCTTCATTTCAATGAAATGAGTCTGTCTAGACTCAAATCCTATTCCCAGAGGGTACAAACTCACAGCTCTGATGGCACTGAAGTGGCAAACTCATTCATGAGGCTACAGAAACAGCAGTCAGGTAGCGGGGGGTGGGGGGTGGTGGGTGGGAAATGTTTCAGTGCAGGGGCAGCAACAGCATGTTCTGCAGAGCTGGGGAAAATCAGCAAGCGTATAATTTCCATCCTGAGGGCACATCATCTTAGGAATCAATCCACAGACACTGGTGCCTTTCTTGCAGGTCACCAAACAGCCAGAATTCACGGTCACAGTCAATGCTCGCATCCTGCTTGACAATGGGTGGCACCGTGACCAAACCTCACCCAGTCCTCGCTTGGCATCTACATTTACTGACATATCTCTGCCCTGCAGCTCCCAGCCCCTCACTCACATGGCGGAGGCCGGTGTCCAGCTGAGTCACCACAAAGCAAGGTCAGTTCTGTACAGCTCAGGGCCATAGCAGCGGATGCATGATCCCATTGAGCTATCGCTTGTTCAGAATCGGCTAAGCCTCAATTAGGGATTGCTGACCTTCCAGGATCGGCCCGCAGTCTCCAAAATTTGGAGTATTAACTGGCAGGGTCGAGTTTCAAAGTAACTTGGAAAACGACACTTTTTGTAATGCCAAATGATTTACTGTTCATTCTTATTACTGACGGCAATATTGGAGGTGGGGATTAAGGGCCACATCACTACCAGTCAGGATAAATCCATTTGAGTAAGAGTTTGTTCCCTGTCCAAATGGCGCGGAAAGGCACCGTGTCTGGAGAATGAGCTCACGGTGAAGAACTGTCATCTCGGAGGAGAGCAGCGTAGAACTTCAAAAGGATGTTGACAAGTTGGTGGAGTGGGCAAATAGGTGGCAGATGAAGTTCAATGCAGAGAAGGGCAAGGTGTTGCATTTTTGTACAAAGATGATAGATAGACAGTATTAAACACAGCGTACTAAAGGATGGGCAGGAACAGAGAGATTCGAGTGTATATGTGCATACGTTATTAAAGGTAGCAGGACAGGTAGAAAGAGCTGTAAATAAAGCATACTGTATCGTAGCCTTCATTAATAGAGTACGATAGTGAAATGTAGGGTATGCAGAGTAGTTTGATCTTAGAGTAGGATATTAGGTCGGCACAACATCGTGGGCCGAAGGGCCTGTACTATGCTGTACTGTTCTATGTTCAGTACAACAGCAAACAAGTGATGATGAATTTACAAAAGTTAGTGATTAAACCTGGAGAACTGTGGGCAGTTTTGGGAGCAACACTTTAGAAAGGATGTGAACATTTTGAAGAGAGTGCAGAAGACATTTATCAGAATGGATCTAGGGATGAGACACTTCCATTATGTGGAAAGACAGGAGAAGTTGGGACTATTTTCCTTCGAGAGCAGAAGTCTGAGGGGACGATTTGATAGAAGTATTCAAAAATCACAAAAGAACAGAGTGGCTAGGAAGAAACTGATAAAAGATTTAGAATGAGAGGCCACAGTATTAAAGTGTTTTGCAAAAGGACCAAATGTAAGGCGAGAAAGAAACATTTTCTACATAGCGAGTGGTCTGGGCTTAGAATGCACCACCTGGTTCAACTGAAGTATTGAGGAGGCCACTGGATGAGTATTTATACAGAAACAACATGCAAGATTCTGGGGGAAAGACAAGAGTATGGCTCTATGTTAAAATGCTCAGAGAACCATTGCAGGCACAAAGGGCTCAACAGTGTTCTCCTGCATCGTAACAGTTCGGTGATGCTGTAACAGAGGCGGAATGCTCCTGCTCAGGAGGTCACATGAGGAAGCCCCAGCAGGGTTGGTGACTCAAGCCTTAGTACGTGGTCCTGTGAAGCCTGAAACTTCCTGCTGGTAGTCAATCTCTGCTGCATTGCCCAGCTTCAGTCTTGACCTAAAAGACAGCAGGTTATTGAGTGCTAGAAACCAAAAAGGGCAGAAACAGCAAGCCCTCCTGCAGGGACCCAACCAACCTCCACCTTCACAACATCCATGGTTTTGACAGATACATCACTGCTGGGGGTCCTACATTCAACTTCAATAAAGGACTTGCTGTCTCTCTGACAATGAAATGATGCAAACACTCACTGTTATCCTTATTACTTTTGCCTTTCTCCGCTGGAGCCTAGAAAAACAGAGCAGATGTGAGACAGTCTGCAGAGTTTAACAAAGTGACCTCAATACAAGTAATCCGAATCTGAAAACTGTGCAAAATACAGAAAATTGAATTTCAATCAGCAAATGCATTCTTTCGAAACAACATTAAAAAGATAACCTGCTACTGTTGCAAATGAAATAAAACAGCAGGTAGTATAAGGTTCTTTTACAGGGCTAAGCAGGATAGAATTAAGGATTGGACTATATAGCTTCTGTAGCTTTAAATAGAGTTTATATAGGCATTGTGAATGTAAAATGGGATGAGTCCTTTAAAAAAAAGTTAGGCTAGAACGCAGGCAGATTTACAATAAATTGTGTCTGCAGTGCAACACATGCATGTACACTACACTACAGATATTAATAAACAAGGCCCTATACTTTGCAGGCAGAAAGAACATTTATATGCATTGTGACTGCTTAAATTCAACAAAATGGCTGACAGCCATTCAGGAGTTCATTTCTCAGGGCAATGCGCTGAGCAATCAGAGACAACTTGCCTGGTTTAAAATTTAAACGAAGCCCGTCTGTTAACTGTCAATCAACATTAATGGGTGCATCAGCATTCTTCTCTCATGCAGTACAAATGTGGAGTTCTCCCCTTGAATTTGTAGAAATTATCCAATCAACCAGTTCAGAGATATTCACACACCTCTGGAGTTGAGCCCAGGCCTCCTGGTTCAGAGCTAGGGACACTATCACTGCGCCCCAGGAGCCCCCTTGAACTTGTGTTCTCTGTGAAAAGTCCTAATGAGTGCAAGTTGAAAAACTGCAACAGAATCTGTCCTTTTTTAAACTTTAATAAATACATTCTGCTAATAGATTTTCTATAGTGATGGTTCAACGCAGACACTGGAGAGTCACCCATGTACTTTCCAGAAGGAAGCATTTGAAAACAGCCAGGAAACCTGGCTGAATTTTTTCTTTCTTTTGCAAAGTACTGCAGAAAGTTGTGAACACAGCCCAGACCATCACGCAAGCTAGCCTTCCATCCATGGACACCATCTATACTTCTCATTGCTGCGGAAAGGCAGCCAATGTCATCAAAGACTCCTCCCACCCTGGTTATAATCTCCTCCGTCAAAATACAAGATACAAAAGCTTAAACACATGGGCCAACATGTCCAAGAACAGATTATTTTCCGTTGTTATTAGACTATGAATGAACCTCTCAAATTTAAAATCTAATGTTGCTTTTTGTGTACCTTCTCTGCAGCTTTGTAACCCTCACTCTGTTCAATCACCCTATGATCGTTGTATGCTACAATCTGGCTGTACTACAGTAGAACAAAACTTTTCACTGTACCTAGGTGCATGTGACAACATAAATCAAATCAAAGTGGCAAAGATTCTGCCTAGTTTAGATGAGTTACCTCAGCTTAGACCCAGAACTCAACCCGAAACCTAATCTGTACAGCATTTGATTAAATTTAATGTTGGTTCTACTTGATAACCTTCTGAGGAGCTTTCTAATATCATTCAAATGAAAATAATTATTAAAAAAATACTTGTGCAGCTAGCGCAAATACAGCTAGCGCAAATACAGCTACATATTATTTGGATGAGTATTAGGGCAGATGTCAATAGGAAATAGAACTAATCGCTATCATTTTTCAAACACTACCGCACTGCACTGGTAAGCAAGTCCCAACTCACCTTCCTGGCCGCAAGTTTAATGCGAGGAGTGAAACTATTATAATAAAGCTGACTCTTGGAAGTGTAGAAGCTGTAAGTAAAGCAATGAGACTGAGTCAATCCAACAGGACTTTATTTGCAATGTGGTCAGTGACATTCGAGAACAGCAAAATAGAACAGATTCCTCTTTAATGCTGGAAGAGGCTGACAGGATGGAGTTTCTCGCTGAAACATGTGATTGCATTTTCCAGCTGTTGGCTGATCTCAGCCATCTCTCAATCTCTGATCCTGTGGCTTGTCGCAAAGTAACTAGCCAGAGGAACAGGAGGATGGCCAGAACGCAACAGCTATTTTGGTGACACAGAGAGTAGTAGAGACAAAGAATGGAGGAAAAGATCAGATGGAGGATTTAGGGTATGCATCGTCATGTGTCGAATAGATGTAGAAACATGAGTTTATGTCTGCAGACCTTAGATAAAAATAAAAATCTGGTCTCAATTTCTGTACTTCCCTACCTACCCCACTCTCACATTTGCTCATTTCCTACAACAGCGATCACACCTTAAAAAGTACTTTGTTAACTGTCAAGTAATTTGGTGAGATGGCTGGTGATGATAAAAAGTCCCACAGAAACACAAGGCTTACGTTCTGGTCCCTCAGCTATTTTTCTGCTCCAGCGTAGCACAGAGCGGTCGATGTAGATATGACTTTGAGGCACAGAGGGCTGGATTCCCTGTTGGGGTTTATGGAAGCTGGCACTAAAGCTCTCCTGGTACTAATATCAAAAATTCCATTTAGAATCACAGAATTTCTTCAGTGTGGAAGCAGGCAATTCGGCCCATCGAGTCCACAATGACCGTCCGAAGAGCATCCCACCCAGATCAACAGCCCCCACCCTATTTCTGTAACCCTATATCTCCCATGGCCAATCCACCTCACCTGCACACCTTTGGACTGTGAGGGGAAACCAGAGCATCTGGAAGAAATCCACACAGACGTAGGGAGAACGTGCAAACTCCACACAGACAGTCGCCCGAGGGTGGAATCGAATCCGGTCCCTGGTGCTGTGAGGTAGTAGTGCTAACCACTGAGCCAGCATCCCACTCTATCATTAAGGGGAAGATTTGCCTGGTAAAGACAACTGGCAGACAGGAGACAGTGGGGTGTCTTTCTGCAGTTGAGTGAATGACAGGAAAGCTTACAGCTGGCTGGCTGCCTTGTGCGTGACTGGAGGGAGCTTGCTCTTGACACAAGATACATCAAATGCACATGACATGTCACATCTGGGTGCAGAGCAGAAATAAAAGCTCCACACAGTACGAGTGTCAGGAATGAGTCATCCTAAAGATTGCTTTGAACATGAACGGGTTGGTGAGACAGAGAAAGAAAAGTGACACAGAAAAGAAAATCAGTGAAAGGGAGAACTTGCATGTATGCAGCACCTGTCATAGTCTCAAGGCATTGTACAAATGCAGTCCCTGTTGTATTACAAGAAACACAAGGTCCCACAAACTGCAACATGACAGTGATAGGATTATCCGTTTTCATAGAATCATAAAATCCCTGCAGTTTGGAACGGCCCATTGAGTCCACCCAGACCCACCCCTCTACCCTACCCCTGTAACCCTACATTTCCCATGGCTAACCCACCTTTGGACTTCAGTGATGTTGGTTGGGGGATAAACATAGGTCAGGACACTGGAAGAACTCCACGTTGTGAGATCTTTTACATTTACCCGAGAAGTGCAGAGGGCTGTTTAACCTCTCTACTGCAAGACGGCACGTTTGAAAGTGCAGGACTCCCTCAGCAGGACACTGAAGTGTTAGCCTCAATCACATGCCTCTGGAGTGAAGCTCAAACCCACAGCCCTTCCCATCTGCAAAAACAAAGAAGGGTTTTGGAAGCAAGGGAAGACAGATTTTATTAAAATAAGACAAGATTGGGCCAAAGTGGTTTGAGAACAGCCACTTGTGGGTAAACCTATAGCAGAATGTGAAGGGGCATTTAAAATCACACTGGGGAGAGTACAGGCCCATCGTGTTCCCTTTAGGGTCAAATGTAGGAGCAACAAGCCCAGAGTACACTGGATGCCTAGCAATATTTCCTTCTACGATAACAAAGAAAAGAGAGACTTTTAACAAGTGCAGGAAGAAAACTATGGAGGTCCTGGTGGAGTATAGAAAGAGTGTAGAAAGACTTAAGAAATCAATTAGGATTGCAAAGAGAGGGCATGGGAAAACACTGACGGATAAGATGAGGGAGACTTCCAAAATAATCAGGGAAAAAGTAGTGTCACTTAGGGACCAAGGGGGCAACCTATACATGGAGCTGGAAGCCTTTGATAAAGGTGTTAAACAAATACTTAACTTCTGTTTTCATTCTGGAGTATGTAGTTACAGAGGGAAGAAGGACTGTGAGGTTTGAGAGTGGTTTGACATAGGGATTGAGGAAGTATTGGAGGTTTTGGGGGGTTTAAATGTGGACAAATCCTCAGGTCCCGGTGGGTTGTATCCCAGGCTGCTGTGGGGGGAAACGAGGGAGGGAAATACAGAGGGTCTGGACAAATTTTTAATTCCTCTCTGACTACACAGGAGGTGCTGGAGGACAACTTATGTGGTTCCACTTTTCAGAAAGAGTGGTAGAGATAGACCAGGGATTTACAGACTAGACAGTCTCACATCAGTGGTAGGGAAACTATTGGAGAAAAATGCTGAAGGAGAGAATTAATCTTCACAAAGTTTGATCAGGGATAGTCAGCAGGGGCTTTGTCAGAGGGAGGTCATGCCTAACAAATTTGACTGAATGTTTCAAGGTGGCCAGCTGTGTAGATGAGGATAGGGCAGTTGTTGTAGTTTATGTGGATTTCAGCAAAAGCTTTGACAAGGTCCCAAATGGGTGACTGGTAAAGGTAAAAGCTCTTGGGATCCAGGGTAACTTGGCAAGTTGGATCCAAAATTGACAAAGCGGTTAGGGACAGAGTGGTGGTAGAAGGCTGTTTGTGTGCCTGGAGCACGGTGTGCAGTGGCATACCACAGGGAACAGTGCTGGGTCTCTTATTGTTTGGGATATATATAAATTATATAGGACAGAATGTTGAGGGGGGAATGATAGGTTCGTTTGTGAATGATACGAAGATTGTCTGGGTGGTTGACAGTGAGGAGGAAGGTGTTAAGTTGCAGCCAGATATTGGTCAGATGGGCAGATCAGTGGCAGATGGAAATTTAACCCTGATAACTGTGAGGTGAGGCACTTTGGAAGAAAGAACAAGACAAGGGACTACTTGAATGAATGGCAAGACACTAGGAAGCTCAAAGAAGAGAGGGGTCTTGGGGAGCTTGTCAACAAATCTTTGAATGTGGCAGGGCAGGTTAATAGGGCAGTTAAGAAGGCATCTAGGACACTTGCCATTATCAGTCATGGCATAGCTTAAAAGATCAGGGAGGTCACCATACTATAGGAAGGATGTGATTGCACCATAGAGGGTGCAGAGGAGATTCACCAGGTTGTTGCCTGGGATGGAGCATTTCAGCGAGAGAGACTGGATAAGCTTGGGTTCTTTTCTTTACAGCATAGAAGGCTGAGAAGGGAGCTGATAGAGGTGCATAAGATTACGAGGGACACGCAGAGGGTGAACAGAAAGCAGCTGTTCTCCTTAGCCGACGGTCAATAACAAGGGGGCATAATTTTACAGGGAAAACAGATGGTTTAGAGGGGATTTGAGGAAAAATCATTTCACCCAGACAGTGGCGAGGGTCTGGAATGCACTGCCCGAGAGGCCTTGAGGCAGGAAATTGCCCATCCCTTATAAAGTATGTGGATGAGCACATGAAAGGACCTAGTGTTAGAAAGTGGAACTGGTGTAGATTTAGAGTAGTTTTGTCAGGGTAGAGTAGTTTTGTCAGGGTAGACTAGATGGTGTTTGTTCATCAGCACAGACATGATAGGCCGAAGAGTCTGTTTCTCTGCTGTGTGACTCTACGTCCCTAGATGGGCTGAAAGGCCACGTGTACTTATGATTCAACGAACTTTCTGACACAAAGGCACCGATCAAACAGCAATAGTAGGACAGGTCTTTGTAGCAAACAACTAGCAAACCTACAAATTGAGTCACAGAGCAACCAACCATGTCCATCACTAAATAAATAAAGTGTGATGTGAGTACAACCAACCTGTGGTTTATCCAGTGGGGAATATTGTAGTCATCACCTAGACGAGAATCTCCAGGGACCCCTCGATTGTGCAACTGTTGAAAAGAGAGAAAAGACATGAAACATTTCACACTGCTGAAACACCATGGTATTCCTGGGGGTAGACTACAAGGAGGTGGAAAATTCTAAAGAATCATTTTAATTTAACTCACTGTGGGGGAGGGGGTTGTGGATCCACAGGATATGGTGGAATACCTCTTTTACATGCTAACCAACATTACCACTTCATGAATACAGTGAAGCGTGAAATCTCAGACGGAAAAACACGAGCATTGCACCTGATCTCAGCTGTTTCCCAATGGGTGGGACTAATTCAGTCCCACAGCTAATTCTGATTGCTCACCAAAGCAAGGAAGCTCAACATTTCAGGAGCAAACAGTTTTTCACAACGGTGTCAAACGGTCCTTCAAAAGCACCAGAGATCCTGCATTTATGTACTGTTCCTCCAGGATTGAAGGATGATGGTGCACAGTCTATGTAACTAAACAGCAGACTTGGATACAAGACTGAGGTTCGACATGTCTTTGTGATACTTTATATTCACTTGGTCCATTGTGTATGGGAGGTCAAATAGTCCTAGTGCTTTGTCATTAATTACTAAGCATTTCATAAATAGACAATGAAAATCACAAACATTTGACCGGTTGACGTTAATGTTCAAATATAAATGAATAGGCACAAAGCAATTAAAAATAAACTGGTGCAAACTGCTTCAAGATGACCAAACTCCTCAGCAGCCGACCATGGTCAGCACAGAAGCCACATTCCATAAAACCCGCCGACCCAGCAGCACCCAAACTCAGTCTGGGATGCTGCTGGGCCACAGAGAGATCAAAGATGGAGATTGCACCCTGGGTATGTTCTGGGCAGGGACAGTGTGAACACACTGGGGTGGGGGGTGGGGGAGACAGGGGAGCGGGGGCGAAGAGGGAGGACGGAGAGGGAGGGGAGAAGATGGAGGGGGAAGGGGGCAGAAGAAAGGGGAAAGAAAGCGGCAACAAGGAGAGTTTGAGGTTTGGAGGCCAGGACAGGATAACAAAGGGAACCATGCAGTGTAGTTAAGCCCTGGAAACTGATAGAGTGCAGTTTGGTCATTTTACACTAGCAGCTGCTGCTACTTATGTGAAAGCACTTTCAAAAGCTCAGAGAGATGGGAAAGACAGCTGGGAATCGGGGTTAAACGAGGACTCCAAGTCAGTGGGATTAGCAAGAACAAGCAAAAGCTCTGAAACCACTGTGACTAATGGCCTCAAATCAATTGGAGAGAATATTAACGCTGCAGGGAAAGATGCGGAGGTAAAGCACTGGATGTTCATGATGACTGGAAGGCAAATGGATGCTGAATCATTATCTGCTCCTCCATCAGGCACGGATAGTGTGCAAGGAAAAGCCGGATCATCCCAGTCACCCGAACACACAATCATTTTTATTCTTTCCAACTTACTAAAGAGCTGGAAGCCTGTCACTTCATATTATTCTAAAAAAAAAACACAAAGGAGCAAGTTCCAAAGACTGAACACATTGAAGAAAGGACAGAGGCACCCAACCCCCATACCACAAAAACATGACAGAAAGGGGAAAATTGGTTTCATACAAACCTCTGGAGCACAAACAAAATGGGGACATTTCATGAAGTGGAGTTGAGAATTATCAGATCAGCCATGATCTTACTGAATGGCAAAGTAAGCTTGATGGTGCCTACGTTATATGGCCTTACATGGAAACATAGAAGATAGGAGCAGGAGGAGGCTATTCGGCCCTTCAAGCCTGCTCTGCCATTCTTCACGATTATGGATGATTGTCCAACTCAATAGCCTAATCCTGCTTTCTCCTCATAACCTTTGATCCCATTTGCCTCAAGTGCTGTACCTAACCGCCTCTTGAATACATTCAATGTTTTGGCATCAACTACTCCAGTGGTAATGAATTCCACAGACTCACCACTCTTTTGTGAAGAAATGTCTCCTCATCTCTGTCCTAAATGGTCTACCCCGAATCCTCACACTGTGATGCCTCATCCTGGACACACGCACCATCAAGAACATCCTCCCTCCATCTACTGTGCCCAGTCCTGTTAGAATTTTATGATGAAGAAGAAAGTTTTAAAATCCTACCATCCTTACAGTGTGAAAACAGGCCACTTGGCCAATTGAGTCCACACTGACCCTCCAAAAAGCATCCTACCCAAACCCATCCCACCTTTCCTATCCCTGTAACCCTGCATTTCCCATGACTAGCCCACTTAACCTGCACATCTTTGGACTGTGGGATGAAACTGGAGCACCCAGAGGACACCCATGCAGACACAGGTAGAATATGTAAACTCCACACAGACAGTCACCTGAGGGTGGGATTGAACCCAAGTCCCTGGCGCTGTGAGGCAGCTGTGCTAACCACATACCCACCGTGGCGTTTCATTGTTGGGCAAACGGCTTGGCACAGCATTGCAGTAAGTGAAGGTGAGGCACAAAGTATACCTCCGGATCTTAGGTCTGGAGGTAGTGAGAAGCTGGGATTAATTTCTCACTGGATTGTAATCATTTTTTTAAAAATTCAATGCAATAAAGTCGTGGCTGTGGAGAACAAAGTGTGCAGAATCCAGGGAGTTCCTCTTTGTGGATACCGGAGAAACATGTGAGGCCACAGCTACCTGCGCAGATGGCTACATGAAAGCTCCTGTAACACCATTTCAATAACAGCAGTAACTTCTCCTGGCAGCCCAGCCAAGAGGTTATCCGGTCACATCTCATCTGCTGCTTGGTGATCTTTGCTGGATACATTTTGGGTGCTGCACTCCCCCACACAACAAGAGGTTTAGAGGTGATGCACTGACTTTGAAGAGGTGCCTGTCCAATCCTCACAGAGTGATTGTTACGTCCATTCAAACTCCTCAGATACAGAGACACTCCGTGCCTGCAGGCAGCTAGATTCAGATGACATTCAGGCTTGAGCTGGTACATGACAAGTTACAGTCCAGCCCCAAAAGTGCCAGGCAATAGCCATCTCAAATGACAGCAAATCTAACTTCCTTAATGTTAACACTGGCATCATCATTACCATTGACTGGAAACTGAATGGCACCAACTACACAAATACTGCAACTGCAAGAGCAGGTCAGAGGCTGCCTATTCTATGGTAAGTAACTCACCTCCTGACTCCCCAAAGCTGTCCACCATCTACGAATCAGGAGTGTGATGGAATACTCCCACTTGCCTGGATGGGTGCAGCTCCAACAACACCCAAGAAGCTCAATATCATCCAGGAGAATGTAACTCTGAGTTCCCAATGAATTCTAGGCTGATACCAGATACAAGAGAATGTCTTTTCAGGGCAGGTGGGTAGATTGGGCCTGTACACATTGAAATTTAGAAGAATGAGGGATGACTTTATTGAAACATACGAGATTCTTAGAGGACATGACAGCGTAGATGTGGAAAGGTTGTTTCTTCTTGTGGGAGAGTCCAGGACCACAGGGAATAATCACAGAATAAGGTGTCGCATATTTAAGACAGGGATGTGGAGGAATTTCTTCACTCAGAGGGTTGTGAATCTGTGCAATTCTTTACCGCAAAGGGCTGTTGAGGCTGAGTCATAAAGTATTGAAGGCTGAGACAGATTTTAAATCAGAGGGGAATTCAAAGGTTATGGGGAAAAGGCAGGAAAGTGGAGTCGAGGATTATCAGATCGGCCATGATCTCATTGACTGGCAGAGCATTATTGATGGGCTGCATGGCCTATTTATGCTCCCATGGCTTACGATTAGCACCACTTCCAGAACCTTCAACGTTCACTCCTTCAGCACTTCATGCTCACTGCAGCAGTGCATACCATCTACAAGACAGAACTCCCCAAGGCTCATCTGACAGCACCTTCCAAACCAGTGACCTCTCTCACCTAGAGAGACGAGTCCAGTAGGCACATGGGAATGCTACAATATTCAGGTGCCCCTCCACAGCACACAACATCCTAACTTGGAACTGTACCTCTGATCCCTCGCTGTGGCTGGGCTGAAATCCTGGAGCTCCTATCTAGCAGCACTGTGTGGGTACCTGCACAAATTACACTGTGGCCGCTCAAGAAGACAACTCACCATCAGAATGATAGGAGCAAAACGATGACCAGCAATGCGCATGTCCAGCAAATTAATAAAAAAGTAAGCACTTCATGCAGTAGATGGCAAATTGCACTTAGCGGTTTTCCAAATGTCACATTTAAAAAGCATGGAAAAATGGGACTTTGAAACCGAAAGGTACAATATAAATACAAGTTTTTTTTTGTTTCTTGGCCTGTTGCAGATGTATAGACAAATCAGATTCAATGACTTTGCAGGATAGGGTAATAATATAAGAAACAAATAAATGTCCTGATTGCCAGAAGGCAAGAAAATCAGGTAGAGGTCAAATACATGACGGAGCCGATTGGAAAACGTGGCCACAGTCACTGAGTTTAAGACGAAGTGCCTCAATTCAGTGAATGTCACAATACCATGATCAGAAAAATAATACCGCTCTAATAAAAGGCCGCAGCAGAAAACTCCCAACTTATCTTTCCACAGAGGTTCCCTCGCCAGTGTTCCTCGCAGTTTCCAAGTTTAATATACAAACAGACTGACCGGAAGTTAATGGAAGTGGAGACATCGTCAAGTTCAAATGGGAGTGAGAGATGTATCAGAGTCAATTACAAATGATATTTCTGGAAGTTGGTTCTGTACATATTTTATTGCAGTTCAATAAACAAATGAACCAACACAATCCTCATTACTTAAAGGTTGTAATTTCACACTAATGTTGAAATATTATTGTGTAATTTATCATTTACTGTTAAATGGGTCTCCCAATTTTCATTCTCCTTACTTCATGTTTCACTTGGACTCCAGGTCATTTTCATACCACACAACTGCAAAGTTCATAAATTTTAGTCAGGCTAATAAAATTCTTAATGGGATTGTATTGGTAAACAGAAGTATAGCTTTACTGCATGGTTGAAAAAGATATTGAAGTGCATGGATACCTGCCATCTATTCAAAGTGCAATTG